TTCATTCTCTTCATGCTTTATGCCTCATGGTCACACTACGTACGGCTGCTGTGTCTCCAGGCATTCCATCTACTCTCTGGGCTAGAAGGAAAAAGAAGGAACAAAAAGTCCTCAGCTATCCCTATCCATCCCCGTTTTTATCAAGAAAGCAATGCTTCTCAGAACTCATTTTAGCAGATGTCTATTTAAATCTCTCCAGAATGGGGCCACTGGAAAGTAAAGTATTATCTTTTGTACAAAATTATAATTGTATAGAAAGCTCATGAAATGCACAGTTGGGAATAGCTCTTGAGAATGAATAAAAGAAGGAAGAATTGCAAGTTGTCTTGAGGATGAACAAATGGGCCATTGGGTGAACCCACAGCCACCTTCTCAGCCTAGAAGTTTGCCATGTTAATGTGTCATCCAGATGCCCACAAAAATAATGTGGACCCCGGAGCAACAAACGTCATGGGGCCTCAGAAACCAAGGGCATGAGCTCTGTGTGATGTCGGATTTTACTATATGCATGTGCTCATTAACATGGAACGCGGGTGCTGGGCAGAAACCTTTTCAACTTAGGCAAGAACGTCTTCCTTGGTTTGAGTCATCTCTGAACGATGCCAATGGGATGCCAGCAAAGAAACAAGTGAAATGTGGGGCTATCAGTGTCTCTAAAGCAAAAGGAGGCAGCGCTAGGGGACCCTGTCTTTCTTTCAATCTTCATTAGTTCTCTTCTGTCCTTGCCTGACTTTAGGAATTTGCCAGTTTTGTCTTTGAGCCTTGCATCCTTGCAAAGACAGGATGCAACTTCAACTGGATTGAATTAGGGCATCTCTGCCCACCAGCTCCATCTCCCAGACCCTTGGGGATGGATGTTTAGCCAAGACCTTGTCCAACTGGGGTGTCTTGGTTCAACAGCCTTTTGTCAGAGACCCTCAGGGGTAAGTATCTGACCGCTTGTCCAGAAGTGTGACCTTGGCCAAGTTACTTCACTTCTCTAAGCCTCAGTTTTCTCCTCTGCACTGACTTGCTCTAAATTTCAAAAGAGCAATGCAGCTAACGCAGCTCCCACAGTGCTTGGCACCCTTCACGGATAACAATGAGTCTCCTCTTCCTTATCATTTTTACAACTGTTAAGGGGGAGACCTGGGTTTAATACATGCCCTGCAGCTAATCCTCTAGCGTCACACTTCACATGTAAAATGGGGGTGATGAGCACGCCTCCTGGGGTGCAGGGAGTTAGGAATGCATACAGGCTAAAGGCCACAGGTGCAGAAGGGATCCACATGGGTCAGGCGTGCTTCCTATGTGCTGTGCAAAGGTGGGAGCTGACACTTGCACGCAGAAGCTGGAAATGTGTGAAAGGACAGGAAGCTGAGCGAAGGGAGGAGAGGATTGGAGAAGGAGGGGTCAGACCAAGAATGAGGGGAAGGAGGGAAAAGCAAAGAAAAAACCTGGACCTCAAATAATTAAAACATGGGGCAGAGGAGGTAAATTGCACCAAGACTTAACAGGAAGAAGAGAACTAGGAAGAGCCCAGGACCTCTGGGGTTCGGGCTGGAAGGCTGGAAGGTTCCAGCCAAGGAGGAGCCAGTGGCTGGACATCTGGGACTGTTTCTTGGGAAGAAGGGGGGTCTTTTCAGCCCGCTCTTTCCCTTGATCCAGGACTCTGAGGTCAGAACCCATTGTTTTGATTGGAGAGGCCCTGGGCAGAAGGGAGTGCAGCAGGCCCTCGAAAAACATTTTGTCCAACGTCAGATTATTATCACACTAATAAGAGAAAAAAATATTGCTCCCAGCTGGGGTCACTATTGGGCATCTATAGGTTCTCCCAGGTCTGCGCACCTGGCTTCCTCCCACATCCCAAAGACGTGCATGTGCCTTCTTTGACTCGGTGGCCCTAGTGGAGTGAGCGCATGCTGTTGCGAGGTGCCCTGTGATGGGAGGGCATCCTGTCCAGGGCTGGTGCCTGCTTTGCCCCCTGGGCTGCCACCATAGACTCTGTCTGATCACCCTCCACCCTGAACTGGAACAAGCAAGTTGCCAGTGAAATGAATGAATGAATGAAGACAAGTGATGGTTTAATATTAGAAACGCTTGGGATCTTTATTTAGGAGTTCATAACGCTTCTGTGATCAGAAATACGCCATAGGAACTTAAGTTTACATCAGTTAGCCCCTGCTAAATTGGTTTCATTCCACCGTGTTTTGCTTGAAGTCAAAGTTTCCAAGTACCTACGGCTTACCTTAAATGAGGACTTACGTGCCACGGGGCATCAGTGGGGTAACCTCCCAGGACCCAGAGTTTGAGTTCAGTGCATAGGTGGCTTCACACTCACTGCCTGTTTGACCTCACACTAGCGACTGCCTCTGACCCTCAGTGTCCCCCACTTCTAAATGGGGAGCAGCAACCAGATTTAAAGCTAACAGCTACTTGTTACGAGCTTACTTATATCGGATCCCTTCTCTGCCCTTCCTGTGAACCCAGCCTCTCTGCAGCCCCATGTGGTGTGATACTATTATTATCTGCATTTGACAGATGAGGAAACTGAGGCAAAAAGACACTAAGTGACATAGTTACTGTGCCAACTCAGGCAGGAGGAAATTAGAGGTCCGAGTCTTCACCATTCTGATGCTTCACAAATAATTGGACAAGTAATTTTCTCTCGGCAAATGCAATGCTTTCTAAGGAAGAAATGCAGAGGATCGCTCAGTCTTCCGCCTTGGCGACAGAGTGGAGAGGGAAGCATCCTAGGCTGACACCTAATGCTCCCCGTTAGGCACCGATGCCCAACTGCTTCTGGTTGCAACGCTCCATTTTTCATGTGCATTTCAAGCGGAAAACTTGAGCTGGGATAGGGTGCAACTCCCTGGTTGCATGATTTAACCAGCCGGGAGCTTTGGAAGGCAGCTGATAATCGTTCACAGGGGCCCTGAGTGGCTTCATCGGTGCCTACTTTGCTGGGGTGGAGAATCTCTCTCCCATCAAGGTTTAAGTCATTTTAGAAATGCAACTGGAGGAAGGAAAAGTTGTGGCTGGAGCAGCAAACCACGACCTCCCTCATTTTTTTTTTTTCAGATTAGTACACCAGGCT